CTGCTCTCCTACGCGGCGGCGGGCGTCAAGGCGCTGCCGCTGCAGGCGGCCGGCTGCACGGGCCGCCCGCTCGGCTACTACGCCGACCCGTCGGGCTGGGGCGCGCGCAGCCCCCCGCAGTACTGCGGCGCCAAGTCGGGCTCGGTGCTGCCCTGCTGGCCCAACAGCGCCGCGGCCGCCGCGCGCATGGCCGGCGCCAACCCCTACCTGGGCGAGGAGGCCGAGGGCCTGGCGGCCGAGCGCTCCCCGCTGCCGCCCGGCGCCGCCGCCGAGGACGCCAAGCCCAAGGACCTGTCCGACTCCAGCTGGATCGAGACCCCCTCGTCCATCAAGTCCATCGACTCGAGCGACTCGGGGATTTACGAGCAGGCCAAGCGGAGGCGGATCTCGCCCGCCGACACGCCCGTGTCGGAGAGCTCGTCCCCTCTCAAGAGCGAGGTGCTGGCGCAGCGGGACTGCGAGAAGAACTGCGCCAAGGACCTCGGGGGCTACTACGGCTTCTACTCGCACAGCTAGGCCGCCCCGCCGGCCCGCACCCCGGCAGCGCTCCCGGCCCTTCCCAGCAACTCCTGCCCTGACCCCACCGTCCACACCTCCTCCCTTCCTTTGACCCGCCAGCACCGTCGGCAGCGAATAAATGCAGGTCTCCGAATAAATGCAGTTAACGTGATTTTAACTTTTTCCCCTTCTGTTTCCTGCACAGCGCTCTCTGCAATGAGCTCACGACCTTCAACTTTGCTGTCAACCTTTTTTGGTTTTCCTACTTTCTCCCCCCGGGAAGTTATCTTCCAAACAATCCTCCCCCACCCCTTGTCTTTTTCTTACCCGCTCCTCTTTCTGGTAATGAAGTTCTTTACCTTCAGGAGACCTGGCCGTCCTGCCAGGCAGCAGCGATTCCGACCCTCCGCGTCTTGGCCGCCCCATTAACTGTAGGATGTTGACTCTAGAACCTGGACCCTCCCAGGGCGTCCTTCCTTATCCCCGAGTGGATGGGTGGATGGATGCATGGATGGATGGATGCATGGATGGATGGATGGTAGGGATGTTAATACTTCTAGTGGAACAAAGCCTGTGAAATGATTGTAAATAGTGTTAATTTATTGTAACGAATGGCTAGTTTTTATTCTCATTGTTGAGGCACAAAACCAGTTCATGCTTAACCTCTTCCTTTCTTTCTACCCCCTTCTCTCTTTTCTTTCTCCTTTTTTTCCCCCGAGATAATATTCTAAGAGGCTCTGGGAACGTGAAATACTCATAGGTAGTAATAGATTTCTTACTTCTCAATCCATTGCATGAAACAGTTACTTTGTGCCCTATGCCTACAAAATAACTAAGGAGAATCCACCCAAAAACCTTTAAAGAGTAGGTGTCTGTTCATAGGCAAGTGGATTAAGTGGCATGGGGCCTGCAGAGCTAAGCTAACTGGAGTTGTATGTTTTCTCCTCCTTCTTTTTAAATAGAATAGTTCGACATCAGCAATATTATTTTGCCTTATTTGTTTTTCCCCAAAGTGCCAAATCCATTACTGGTCTGTGCAGGTGCCAAATATGCTGATAAACTGTTTCTGAATATCTTTTCAGCACCACCACCCCCCTTTATATGCTGTAAATCTTTGTAATGAATATTCTACTAATGATATAGATAACTGAATTGTTGGTACCTCTAGTGTAGTCTAGTGAAGATGAATTGTGTGAGTTGTATATTTTACTGCATTTTAGGTTTGATTTCCCTTTCCCACCTAGAAACAGCTGAAATCTGATTTCCTTGGGAAAACACTAGCATTCATGCGAGTAAAACTGATCCCCCCCAAGTCTTGTTATATTTGATAAGGAGCATTAATTAATCCCCCTGGAAATAGATTAGTGAAACTTCTAATGTTGTGTAGCAAACCTATACTTTTTTTTTGTATTTAAATTTTAATGTGAAATATGCATCATACACAATATTCAATCTAGATTCCAGTCCATGGGGGGGATTTTTTTCCTAATAGGAATTCAGGGTCTCAACGTGTGTACATTTTGGCTCTTCTGTAAATCTAATGTTGTGATTTTTATATTTGTTTCGTTTTGTCTGTGAACTGAATAATTTATACAAGTACACACTCCATTGAGAAACGTTTTGTTTTTTGCTTGTTTGTATCGTCTGTGTATGATAAGTAAAATAAATCTGGTAAAAATGCTAACTATGGTGTTTGGAAGCAGTGTACAGTTTAAAAATAAGTCGGTTATTGAGAGTGGTCACTATGAAAGGCTAAGAAAGAATAGCATGTCCCATTCCCATATGGGCTAGCTCTGTTTTATGGGGATCACCTCCCATTGTCCCCTCTTTACTTTATAGCATTGTCACCATTAACTGCTTTTTCTTAATCTACAGTAATTACTTACTTAGTGACCTGTGTGTCAAATTTCACTTTACTGAGTGCCCCAGATTCCCCCAAATGTGTGCTTTGCATTCATCTACCTGATTCTCTCTGAGGTTGGAAATGAGTGCAGGAAATGAAAGGAGATCTTTAAATGAGGAGTAAGAATGTCTTTAAAGTTCACAGAGCGAAGTGAGGATTGGCTTTTGGTGATGATAGACAGTTATTTAAATGCATGTGAACATGGACTGTTGACTGCAGTTGAGGTCCAAGATCCAGGCCCTAACATGTGGCATGGGGAGTGAGTGGCACTTCTGTAGATGCATGGAAGGTAGCAGAGGCCTACCTTTCTGAATGGCTGATTTGGGAGCACTGTGGGGTGGGTGGGGGTGGCTGCAGGGTGGAGATGGAGTCACAGAACAAACTCCCAAAGGTCCTTTTCTAACCTCTGAAGCTTAAACTTGGCATTGGGAAGTATTGGAAGGCATCCTCTATCCCTTCTAAGGTGGAATCCCAGTGCCAAATCTGCCAGGTCCTCATTCCTTAGAACAAATGCAGAAATGCAGATATTCCAGCCTGCGGGGTGGGGGG